GGTCCAGGTACAGTGTACATGTACAAAGTGGTTATGTTTACCTGGGAGGGGGGGGGGGGAACTACGGTCCAGGTACAGTGTACATGTACAAAGTGGTTATGTTTACCTGTATACGGGATTGTGTAATTTTACATGTGTCGATAAAGTTTGTTTAAAAACACCGAAAACACAATTTCTAAATATAACAATGTATAGACAGAAAAATAAGTTTATAGATGTAGCTAGAATATAGAAACATACGTAAAAATCAAGTGTATATGTTTAAACACGAAACCGTATAAATTGTTAAGGCATTCCTCAATTTACACCAACCACGAATGTTATCGAACAACGTTCGTCCATCATGCGCACGCAATGATCGTCCAGCTTTTTATCGTTCGCCCATCGTGCACACACCGTTCACACACTGTGCACACTTCGTGCGCACACCGTGTAACGTTGTGCGATCCCACAACTGTATTATTAGTCCTACTGACCCCTTTCCGAAATCCTAAACGAACTCCTAAGACTAGTAAGTGTCACCTTTTTATGGGGGAGGGGGGAAATATATTAATGTGATAAAATTGAGCATGCATCATTAATAGCAAATACCAAATATAAAACATACCACCTACAACACACATGTATGCCTCCACGCGGTGTGTAGTGTACCACCTACAACACGCATGTATGCCTTGCATACTTTCAGACACGTTCCTAAATCACTTGTGTTAATAGGATGCTAAACTTATTGACAACACTTTATTGTACATAATCATTGATTGCACAATATGCATCTCGAAATTTGTCTAACATAGTCACTGATGTACCGATCTTTTTGAACCTAGATGAGTTACTAGAGTGTACACACTATTTCGTAATAACAAATCATTGATGACTTGTGTTCACACTTTAATAGCCAAGCGCTAGCTTACTAAGATCTTTCCATGTTTGCAACGGAAGCTGATAAAACCATTGATAAGTCGAAATAATTCAAATCTTCCATGACGCTTATTGAAGTAATATTTATTGCTTTACTATCTCACATCGAAATTCCCGTATAAAAAACACTTCAAATTTTACATTAATAAGAAATTGAAAATCAAATATTGGTTGGTTATAACCTTATAATGATAAAGTTCATTGTACGGGAATTCGATGTGAGATAGTAAAGCAATAAATATTACTTCAATAAGCGTCATGGAAGATTTGAATTATTTCGACTTATCAATGGTTTTATCAGCTTCCGTCGCAAACATGGAAAACATATTTACTTCAGGCTCAAAATAATACGCCTCAATTTTTTATCCCAAAAAAAATTGGTTAAATGTGGTTAGTCCAAGTGAAATCCCAATTTGTCTTTTTCTAAATCACAGTCTTCTCTTTTTAGGCTTGGTCCCGTCAGCACAACATATCGTTCTTTGAATTTAAGGTTTGTCTTTAACTGTTTCGTTCGTTTACTAATTTCTACTTTTTATTAATCCTACTGGCCCCTTTCCTAAATCCTAAACGAACTCCTAAGACTAGTAAGTGTCATGGGGGAGGGGGAAATATATTAATGTAATAAAATTGAGCATGGATAATTAATAAGTATAGGCAAAAAGACGAAATATCATACCTCTTAATATGTTATTTTTCTTTTGTATTTGTTGCAGGAAAATCAATCAAGATAGCAGTCGTTGGACAATGTATGACTCTCTCACTCATAGGCCTTTCTGTAGTGATTTTTATTTTTGTTTGCCATACAAAACTGATCTTACCTAAGTTTAAACTGTTTCATAGACAGTCCTATCGAGTTCAGGGTAGTAGTGTTCAACCACAGTTAAAAACGGATTCCTTCTCTAGTACTTATTTCAAACAGAAAAACTTCTCTCCGTTAGCAAAAATGGTCAAAGAAAACAAGGAGGACACGACGGGGAACAGACGTTATCAATTTAGTCTTAAGTTTACAACTACAATGCAAACAATCGTGAGCAAACGAAACTTTAATCAAAAGCAGAAAACTGTTCATACTACAGCGCAGATCAGAGCAAACCACCAAACGATAGAACATATTACTTCAGTACATTCTCTGCAAAAAATGACCCCAGAGTACACCACTGGTAAGAAAAAGCCTGGTTTACCGAAAGATCCTTTGACAGCTAAAGAAAAGTGGACGGGTCAAACTGTACAAGACACAGGAGACCAACGATTTCTCGTGTTTCGATATCTTGGTAGGTTTGGCAATGTTATGTTCATATATGCATCATGTTATAGTCTTGCTCTCAAACACAATCGAACGCTATTTATGTCTAAAACAGACAAAATATACCAACCATTTGCCAATATACCAACACCACGGACACCAGATAAAAAGCGTTGTAAAGGCAAAGAAGTCACTTTCAAACAAAAACGGTCCAGATATTATGAGAGATTAAACGTATCAGAAACAAACGCCTCCTGTGTGAGAATCGATGGTTTTCTTCAATCATGGAAATATTTTGAAGATTATTTCGATGATATTCGAAATCAGTTCATGTGGAAGACTTATGTCAGAGAAAAGGCTCTACAGACTATAGAGACACTAAAAATTCAAACATGGCCGGATATCCCTTCTTCAAATATAACAACTGTAGGTATCCACGTTCGCCGCGGTGATTACGTTACATCAAAACGCCCAATGGCAGATCGCGCATATTTTGAATCTGCAAAAGAGTATTTTCTTAAGAATTTTTCGAATGTCCTTTTTATTGTTATATCATCGCCCAACAAAAACGACCGAGCTTGGTGTGTAGATAACATACAAAATGGAAGTGGCGTGACCGTGATTGCAGGATCCAGGGACAAATTCGTTGACATGGCACTGCTATCCATGACGGATCACGTCATTATATCGACCGGGACGTTTGGATGGTGGGCTGGATTTCTGAACAAAGGGAGAGTACTCCATTTTGACTGGATCCCTGTGAATCATAGTCGGTTTAAGAGAGATGATTATATTTTACCCCACTGGATTGGGGTTAAAGCCGTTAACAGTGTTAAAAATAATGTGTCTATCTTTCAAACTGTTCCATTATAATGAGGCAATTGTCATAGTCCATGAGCCAAGCGCAGAAATATAGTTTTAAAGAAAAAAATCAAAATCTAATCGTCGCAATTTTTGAAATATGTTTTTATTTTATCAGTTTTTCTTTCAAAGCTGACTGTCAAAGAATTGTTAAGTCATAATTTGGTCAGAATAAAAACTATTTTTCTATGTATGAGGTTTAAAATATTAAAAGGATTATAATTATATTTAGCCAGAGATAACCAAGAACATTTTCTTTGCACAAAAACATTATATATATATCACCGTTTGATTATAGATTGAAAACGAAATGTCTCTTCTAAGTTTAAAAAAATATTTGTTCCTAGTATATGGAGAATTTACTTGATGAATAAATCTAATTTACAAACGTGATGGGTTGGTGTTGTGTGTCTTTTGTTAATAACACTGACGAAACCACAAGTTATCGAACTTTTCTTGAGGCACCTGTCTTCACTCTCTTCGGTAATCTTTACCTCTGTAACCTTAGCTGTAAACAAGAGGCAAACGTGCTGCATTTTAGATAAAGGCAAGGACTGGTTTACCCGATGTAAGTGTAAAGTAACCAGGTGGACTGCTGTGCTGAGTGACTTTTGCATGGTTTGGAAGTAAGACGCAAGCACGCATACACTACGCACATGGAGGCAAGTCCTTAAATGACCTTATATGTTGATAGGACGTACACAGAATTAAACCAAACCCAACCAAACTTAAGAAGTCAATATATGATCGACAATATATTGTGAAAGCAAAAATAAAACATACCACCTACAACACACATGTATGCCTCCACGCGGTGTGAATGTGTACCACCTACAACACACATGTATGCTTTGCATACTTTGAGACACGTTCCTAAATCACTTGTGGTAATAGGATGCTAAACCTTTTGACAACACTTTATTGTTCAGAAACATTGATTCCACAATATGCATCACGAAAGACAAAACTTTATTGTTCATAAACATTGATTTCACAATATGCATCTCGAAATTTGTCTAACATAGTCACTGATGTACCGATCTTTTTGACCCTAGATGATTTACTAGGGTGTACACACTATTTTGTAATAACAAATCATTGATGACTTGTGTTCACACTTTAACAGCCAAGCGTTAGTTTACTAAGATCTTTCCATGTTTGCGACGGAAGCTGATAAAACCATTGATAAGTCGAAATAATTCAAATCTTCCATGACGCTTATTTAAATAATATATATTGCTTTACTATCTCACATCGAAATTCCCGTATAAGGAAGCACATCAAATTTCACAATTAATGAGAAATTAAAAATCAAATATTGGTTGGTTATAACCTTATAATGATAAAGTTCCTTGTCTGTCACTACCTGACGATCGATGGCGAGATATTTTCTAGCTAAAACATATTTACTTCAGGCTCAAAATAATACGCCTCAAATTTTTATCACAAAAAAAATTGGTTAAATGTGGTAAGACCAAGTGAAATCCCAATTTGTCTTTTTTTAAAACACAGTCTTATCTTATTGGGCGTGGTCCCGTCAGCACAACATATCGTTCTTCGACAGAAACCAACAATAAAACATTACAACATTTAATCAAAAGAAAAGTGTTTAAGTCTTATTTCCCGCTAGCGTTTATGTTATCAGTACATATACAGCTGTAAATTTCACGAATTCACCGACTTCTATCATGTGACATCTTGTTGTGATACACGTTACGGGAGATGATCATATTTCAACCTTTCATGTATGGCAATCAGATCATCATTTGTTACTTGGCGACGTTGACAGTAATGCAGCATATACACATTTGTCCTTGAATTACAAAATCTCGAGTTGTGAAGGCTATATCTGATAATGTAAACAGACTTTGAGGACAGCATGTTGGCGAATGAAGTACTATAATATGTTGATGGTGATACGATTACCACGTCTTTTTATGTAAAAATTGCCAATAATATAATTTTACATGCAATCAAGAGTATGATAACCACAACAAAGAAGTTTGACGGGCTCAAATGAATTTGGAAATGTACCCGAAATGAACATGGTTTCAAATGTATATCGACGTCGTATTTGCATTTCACCGAGACTATTCACTGAACACTTATACACAAAATATCATATTGCCAATGACGTAAACAAGCACACAACATACACTAGATCATAGTTTGATCATTGTTCATGTCAACAGTTACTTAGTTTCAATTCACATTTTGGTCATGTTGTACGTCATCTGAACACCTTTCTTATCCACGAGTAGAGTCTGAAACATAAAGCAGATATATTACGTGCAGTGACGTTTACTTTAAGTCAATGTTTATAAAGCAAAAAATCTCAAAAAATGCGAAAGCTTTGTTATATTTGTCACAGTGGATTTACGCTGTGGTTTGTTTGTCCAAGTAGGTTTACACTATGGTATATGTGCCAATGTGTGTCGACGCTGTTGAATATTTGTCAATTTTAGCTAACGCTGTGATATTTAAGCATTGAACTTAGCGCGCATTATGATATTTGCTTGCAAAGCTGTGTCATTCAAATAGATCATAAATACCATACAAAAACAGTTCAATACTTGCATTTACGTTTTCTCTGCCTCTTGTGTTCTTTTTTAACTTATAACTTATATTTTAAATTAAAAATGCCCCCCTTATCGACAGTCCACACAACTTCGTTTAATAGTTTGAACAGCGTATTGTCGCGTGCTGATTGGCAAACAAAGTAGTACTTTGAAATTTTAACAAACACTTCAATTTCATTCCACAGTTCAGTATCAATACAGTTGCGTATGATATGTCTATAGGCTGATTTAAGTTTATCAATAGAACTCTGAGCTGAAAGTTAGATTTGAAATTGTTTCGATTTTTCCCCGGAGCAAATTTCGCGCATAGAAAAATACAGTTGAGCTGAAAAATCCGACCTTGCCCTCCACGAGGGAGTTATTTTTAGAAGTTAATTCGAACTTTTCTCTTTGCTCATTTTGTGAAGAATCCAGGCGTGAATGTATTTGTTGATTGTATGGGACTGACAACAGTCGGTAGATTCTATAACAGCCTCGTTATTTGACATGTCGTAAGAAACTGAGGAACCGTGGATACGAGACGCGTGAAACTGACGGCGTTTGAAGTGAGTGATCTTGCGATGGAGCACAGGTTCGTTACAAATTTATGAAATGTTTATGTGTGCTGTGACTCATATCAGTAGGTCTGTAACATATGTGTCAGTAGGTCTATAGAATAAGTGTATTTCAGACATTTGTAACGAACCCCTGTTGATCAGTGCAGTGTAACAGACGATATTTCTGATAAATTGCATGAGCGTTAAAATTGTTTCCATTGCCGGCATTGGTGATTTCAACCGATGTGCATTTTGTACGATATTGCAGACCTTCGTCTTGTTTTCGTTGTAATAAAAGTGTTTTTAATATTGCACATAAATTTACAATGACATTGTCAAATCTCACAATGCCAAGCGATATTTCACCAGCCGTCATGTTTATTTTTATTGGATATTGAAGTTCTGGTCAGTGTTGTATTAATACGCTAAGAATTGTGTCTCGTGATGCATGGTAATTAAAGTCCCATCAACGACACAGCTTTCAAAGAGGCTATATAGTGACAATGCCATGCAAATGTAAATATATGTGCGTATTTGGATTGCCGCTGTGGTATATGTGCCAATGGGTGTTGATGCTGTGGTATATGTGCCAATGTGTGTTGACGCTGTGTTTTATGTGACCATTTGTTTGACGCTGTGGCATATGTGTCTATGTTTGACGCTGTGGTATATTTTTCAATGCGTTTCGACCCTTTTTTTTCCATGTGTGTTGACGCTGTGGTATATTTTTACATGTGTGTTGACGCTGTGGTATATGTTCCATGAGTTTGACGCTGTGGTATATTTGTCCATTCATGTTGACACTGTGGTATATTTTCCACGTGTGTTGACGCTGTGGTATATTTGTCCATGTGTGTTGACGCTGTGGTATATTTGTCCATTTGTTTTGACGCTGTGGTATATATTGTCATTGTGTGTTGACGCTGTGGTATATTTGTCCATGTGTGTTGACGCTGTGGTAGATATTGTAATTGTGTGTTGACGCTGTGGTATATTTTTCCATCTGTGTTGACGCTGTGGTTTATGTGCCAATGTATGTTGACGCTGTGGTATATTTTTCCATGTGTGTTGACGTTATGATATATGTGTCTATGTGTGTTGACGCTGTGGTATATGTGCCAATGTGTGTTACCACTGTGGTATATGTGTATTGACGCTGTGGTATATATTGTCATTGTGTGTTGCGCTGTGGTATATTTGTCCATGTGTGTTGACGCTGTGGTATATGTGCCAATGTTTGTTAACGCTGTGGAATATGTGTGTTGACGCTGTGGTATATTTTGTCATTGTGTGTTGACGCTGTGGTATATTTGTCCATGTGTGTTGACGCTGGGGTATATATTGTCATTGTGTGTTGACGCTGTGGTATATTTTTCCATGTGTGTTGACGCTGTGGTTTATGTGCCATATGTGTTGACGCTGTGGTATATTTTTTCCATGTGTGTTGACGTTATGGTATATGTGGCGGTGTGTGTTGACGCTGTTGTATATTTGTCCATATGTGTTGTCGTTATGATATATGTGTCTATGTGTGTTGACGCTGTGGTATATGTGCCAATGTGTATTTACGCTGTGATATATGTGTGTTGACGCTGTTGTTAATTTATTCATGTGTGTTGACGCTGTGGTACATGTGTCGATGTGTGTTGATATTTTTATAAATGTGTCGATGTTTTTGACGTTGCGGTATATATTATTCCATGTGTTGACGCTGTTGTATATTTATCCATGTGAGTTGACGATGTGGTATATGTGCCAATGTGTGTTGACGCTGTGGTATATTTTCCATGTGTTTGACGCTGTGGTAACAATATAGAACTCTCAAATTTATACGATACGGACGAAGAACGATGTTAACACCCAACCGCCTGATAATGGTAAGCTAACAAAAAGGAAAGGCAATTAATACAAATTATTTGTCAATGAAATGCTTCATGACATTTCTTTCGTATGTGAAGTCTTAAAAACGATTTGTCAACTGGGAGAGAATGAATGAATGACACGATTTGATGTTAATATAAGATCCTCTAAGCCAATCGGTATCGTATACAATGATAAGACACTTTTTAATGGCGTCGTCATCCGTGTACAGCGTCTGAAAATGACCTCAGCTTATGCAGAGATAAAATCTGTCAACAAACCTAATCTATGCTATCACAACTCAATAATGTCCTACATGTATCAAGTAAGTGATTTACCGGCTTTAGAAGAACTATTGGTCTCAACTATTAAACGATCGCACTAAGTCTTAAAATTCCCAAATTGTATTTGCTGCCCGCACTTGGAGTCTCTTTCGTTTCTTATCTTTCCTCTTCCTTTTTATTTACTTTCCTTTTCACTTATTAACTTTCTAGACACCCGTCCTTATACGACGCTTGCTGTTGTCTCCCTAGACACCCATCTTTATACGACGCTTGCTGTTGTCTCCCTAGGCACCCGTCCTTATACGACGCTTGCTGTTGTCTCCCTAGGCACCCGTCCTTACACGACGCTTGCTGTTGTCTCCCTAGGCACCCGTCCTTATACGACGCTTGCTGTTGCGAGGACGTAAAACCCCTGACAAACAAAATCTTCCTGATATTACCGTCTTAACACTTATTTGCATCGCTGTTAATTTTATTTATTAATTTAGCCCTTTTGCACTGCATACACTTTAATGTATGTACAGTATATGATAATACTGAGGAAATTGATTTCAATATTAGTGGAGAATTTTTTAAACTAGAGAAACTGTATTAGGATCGACAACTCTTGGAAGAGATTGATTCTGTCGGCGTAATGTTTAGTATGTGAACCCTGTCGTTTGGTACATTCATAGTATACTTGAACATGTTATGATACATCTATAAGGATTGAATGTTTTTTTTATGTATATTGAGGCAATAAAAGGCAGTAGCTGATCTACATATCCTGTGGAGCGCGTTAGCGCTCCTCAGGAGATATGTAGATCAGTAAGCGCTCCTGAGAAGATGTTTAGATCAGTAAGCGCTCCTCAGAAGATATGTAGATCAGTTAGCGCTCCTCAGAAGATATATAGATCAGTTAGCGCTCCTCAGAAGATATTTAGATCATTTAGTGCTCCTCAGAAGATATATAGATCAGTTAGCGCTCCTTAGAAGATATGTATCAGTTAGTGCTCCTCAGAAGATATGTAGATCAGTTAGCGCTCCTCAGAAGATATGTAGATCAGTTAGCGCTCCTCAGAAGATAT